ATTCTTTTAATTGAAGTCTATAGTCTTTATAATCTGTTGATGCTGTCTCGGTGAAATATGATGTTTACTATAGTTGAATAATTTTCGAACTGTTCAGATATGTAACAATTTCAATGTGAAATACTTGGCAGTTCGATGAGTGCAAAATGCTGTCAAAGCACCATGACCTGTCTGAGAGAAAAGGAACCGAACAATACTTGGGAAATGGTAGTTCTTTCAGTAACCTGCCAGGTGAAGTCATTCAATTTCCTGACAGGGACACATCTCATCAAGCTTTCCCATATGTGGACGTGCAATATCAACAGCAAGCTATGGGTCAAGATTCTTATCACGCTGCATGTGATTCTGTCTCACTAGAAAAGCAAGTCCACCTTTCTGGAGATAAACAGGACAATCACTGTGATGTTGAAGGAGTCAGGATAGGAACTCCAGCAGAATTATGTTCCTCAGATGTACAAGAAAGCCTGTCAACGAGTTCGGATTTGGATGATATTTCAGCGGAAGCAGTTAGTTTTCACCAGCTTCATCATGTCACAGAACAGGTAATGTCCTCTCTGGATTTTGAAATATGTAAGCATTAAGTTGTGGTACATTATGAATGTTTCTATTAATTTATACTGCACGGTTTCTTATCATATGTGAGAAACTTTTAGAACTATGTGCAGGTAACATCATAACGGTTTGTAGTAAAGTTTAAATCCAGTGATTTTCGTGTGAGTATTATTTATTGACCAAAAGTTTGAGTTTTAAAAAAACAGTTTATACAGTTGCATCTCAGAAAATTTCTATTTTTTTAGTTAATTGACACTGCCATATTAACGATAACAATTTTCCAGGCAAAGGAGTACAGAATTATTATATGCAACCATTTAATGCTAGTTTCCTAAAGACCGAAGACTGCATTAAACTTCAATTCTCCATGATTCTGTAAGGTTTGGAATCCGGTCAAAATCAACATGAGTGAAAGAAAAATGGAATAAGATAGTTTTAGACTACTTACCTAGATAAGATGATTAACCTCACTAAATTATATAACATTTTGAATACAATAATTAAATGATATACATGTAACCTCATCTGACGGCTTATAGTTTCCATGTTAATATACCTGTACGTATGTTTTTTCTTAGATAGAATCCATTCTGCAGATACGTAATCATAATTTTATTTGTAATGAAACAATATCAGAATTTCTCTCTATAATCTTTGTGTTCATGGTATCTAAGCAGGCAAAGGACCTGTGTTAAAGTCCTACCGCCACCCATATAATGAAATTGTCAATAATAAACCCCACCTACACGGTAGGAATGTGTGAAGAAAATATTTAATGATATGTATGTGGCTTTATCTCTTTTAGACCAAGTGGTAAAACTTATCTCTAATATTTAGTAATTAACTTCATGTTGTCCTCCCTGATCACTCTCATCTGTGGGTAACAGAGCTTTTCGAGGGGGTTCCAATGATTCATAATTTTATTCTAAGGCCCTCTTCCAAAGCAGTGAAACAGAGAAAGGGGACAGCGTTATAAATTTTCCGTTGGACCACCCAAACGCAAGGTTTTGGTAAAGATACTCATTTGATATAGGCACGCAAATTCATATGGGCCTGTGGCAGGGAATAAGCTCGTACGTGCCGCCTATTACGGTAACAAGAACTAGAGTTACATCTCTTTATTTCCATTCAAAAGTTCTTAGGTGCTTCCATGCCTCTTATATGCCAACTGCCTATCATTTGTATAGTGCTCATCTCTTCATACATATTCAACAGCTTTGTCACTTACTGTGGATAACATTTTTTGTTTAGTTGAACTTAAAGACGAGGCTATGCATAAGAGACGGTTTATGTCGTTTAGCACTCCTTGCTGAACAAAGGCAGCAACTTGAAAACCCGAACAGCAGCTACGGAGATCAAAGAGATGCCAGTGGAACATTTATGGCTGAATGCGCAAAAAAGTACGTCACCAAATACTTACACATCCTTAATAATATTCAAGCATTCTGCATAACCTGAATGTAATAATGAATCTGTTTCGCAGAAACTGATGCCAATGGCTTATGCTCCAACCCCCCCCCCCCCCCCCCCCCCCCCCCCCCCCCCCCGCCCCCACCTTCATGTTTAGAGTTCTTTGATAATTCTTATACCAGTGACGTTTATTTATTATAGGTGCACTGGTGTTATAAACATGGAAGTGGATCGCTCGATAGCACAGTTACTATTTACGTGCCCATGATTCAGTTAGTTCAGAAACTGCTGCTGATACAGAGAATCAAGTCTACCATTCTCCAATAAGAAATACAGGAGAGTTTCTATTCAGCAAAGTTAAGTTACCAATACGACTATTGTATTTTATGCATGGGCGCGTACAGAAATGCAGGAAGCGACCTTAAATATAGATGCTGATATTTTATTTTTATTTTTTTTTGTATTTTTGATGTAGTACACCTGACTTTCTTGTTTTCAAGATACTGTATATCATGTGTGCATATATATATATATAGGTTCCTTGATATGCTTTCGCACATTTCATATTTGAGTGAATTTTACTTTTTCTTTTGAATGCAACTTGCAGACTGATTATTATTTTTTCTGGAAACTCTTGTGGATTTTGTCATTTGTACAATGATTTTTTACACTCAGTTTGACACTTGCATTGTTGTAAAGTGTTAATTAGATGGAAAAACTATTTAAAATTTAAATTATCCAATTGGATAATGTCTCGTAGCAAAGTGTAAATCAAAATGTACATGTAGCAATATTCAACTCTTATTTCATGGGACTTTGCTCTTGGCTATTTACCGACTTCATGAGAACATGAAAGTACAGGATTAATTGCAATTTTGGTCACTGAACTTTCTAAAAATGTTAAATTGACTCATCTAATTTCAATTTGTCTCAATCAAATAACTGATCGTCAATTTCGTTTTGAAATTCATCACTTCATTGACCTTCGTTGCTTTTAATCAAGTTCACTACAAATACTCTACATGTTTGTTAAAATATAAACATGGACTGATTGGCGTGTCATTATAACACCTTGTCACTAATTAACTTTCTTCAATAAATCGGTTTTTAAGGTTTTCAAAAGTCATTTTAAACTCACCAACCCTGCCTCAAATCAGTCCAAATACGAAGTACTGAAACATGATGGATTATCAAACATAGCATAATTTAATTAGTAGAGAAATATATTTACAAAACTAGATGTGATGTGCTTAGACTCTCGAGTTACATCTATTAATAGTTAAGTCCAAGTTCAATACTAAGCCCCGTTTGATTCCCATTTTTCTAAGAATGAGAATGAAAAATATAGTCGTTACGGACCTACACAAGAGACAGAAAGTCAAATATGATGGTTTGATGTGATGGATAACGGTCATATTTTTCATTTTTGTGGCCAAAGAATTGAAATCAAACAGGGGTTAAATTACAGCATACCTTAAATTTCTTGTGGTGTTAGATCTTCCTTTATCCGTGTACTATTGAACTCACAACAATAAATGCAATAATATTTATTCTATCAAACGTTATCAGACAATGAACATCTTTATTTCAAAACATTCATTCTTTTTCCCCATTTGTTCTACCCCACAAATCGTTCAGAAGTTGGAGTACAAAATGTTAAAACAAAATCTAGATCGTAATCGTCATTCCATGTGCTAATCTTGAGAACAAGACATTGTAAAAAACTTTATAGACAATGATTCGGACCGAACACAATGGAAGTATACACTCACTGTGATGAATATATAATGTAGCAATGGAGAACATAAAATGGAGAGGACGATGATAACGAAATCCGGCAAAGGCATAAACATGAAGAATATATCATTGTCCTCAAACGATATTTATCTCCTTCCGATTGCTTTTAAGGATTGAAAATGACAAATAGTTTGTAGGATTGATCAAACCTAAAGAAGAGCACCAAAAGCAAAAAGATAATCTTCAAAGTGATCTTGTGAAAAATAAAGCTTGAAATATGTGATAATTTCTTCAAAGGTTTTAGGAGAATAATGGAATGAATTTTCATGTGTTTAGGGATGAAAAACATCAAGTATTTATAGATTTCCAATCATCCCATACGAAGTGGTTTCAATTCAAAGCAAAGAGGTGTAATGTTTCATTAACAAAACCACCAGAAAATTCGAAAAGCCAACGGTCAAATTTTTTATAACTATGCAACCGCATAGACTATAACTAGACGGTCGCATAGTTATAGCTTTGGCCACCTCTTGGTTCCCTGGAAATCCAAATGCGGCCGCAAGCCTCAAAGGCTTATGCAGTCGCATAGGCCATTTTTATGGCTCGATTTTCCACTTTATCCACTTTAATCTCAATTCATCCTCCTTGGTTTTGAATAGGGGTGGAGCTATGAAGGGTCCAATGCGAGCATATGCGGGATTTATTCATGTACTAGAAGATGTTGCTAATTGGTAGATAAATCTGATATCAGTATTTCGCACTTTGTAGATCTATACAGACCTATGGATGCGGATGCGGATGCGAATGCGAATGCGAGTGCGAGTGCGAGTGCGAGTGCGAGTGCATGTGATAATTGTGATGCCGGGATCTAAAAATAAAAAATAAAAATCTTTGAATAGGTGGATGAACAATTTTACGGGGGTGTCCCCATTTCAGAGTTTAATAGATTTCTTAATATTTATAAATTCTCATGGATTGTGTGAAATTTGATAGAATTTAATATATTTCATAAGATTTGAATGGATTTTTATTTTGTAGATTTTAATAGATTTTATAAATTTCAATGAATTTTATAGATTCTAGGTAAAATTTATAAATATGCTTAACATAAGCCACAAATTTTTACTTCTTCTTTAACAACTCATTCTTACACATATGCACGTTAATAAATCACAGAAAATGATCGAATCCTTGTTCAATTGTTTGTTAAATATTGAATATTATAACAGAGCTTAAATAAAAAATATACCCAATATTCAACAAAATGCGAGAGTGGGAGAGGACAAAAATATGTAGTGTTAAATAATCAAAGTCGTAATCAATATGAATTAGTTCAAAAGACCAAAACCTTGTGAAATACAAACACATAGATGTACACATACATGACCACAAGGCAATTAATTCCATACTGCCAGAATTCTCATTGACCATATAGACACAAAAGAAAAAATTGTGGGATACCATCCTCACATGTCGTGGCTAGGATTTGCAGGTATATGTAGAAAATACACAGCTCTTCCCAAGAAAAAGGAATAGGGTACAGAACTAGAAAGATGAAGTTGTTCGAGTATGCATACTAGAAATCATAAATTACCATGATAATTTTCAGCACATCTATAAAATAATAAACAATATATAGCTTCAATAAGAAAAAATAAGTTCAATAAAAAATCACACCCAATATTCAACAAAAAATAGTAATATTTTATAAATTATCATCAATTGAAAAGTTCTTATACACGATCTTTTCACAGTTGAGAAATGTGAGATAGAAAGAAGAAAATCTTGTTGAAGATGGGGGGAGGAGGAGAGAGAGAGAGAGAGAGAGAGAGAGAGAGAGGGCAGCAAATATGAAGAGATGTGAGAAATGTTGTGAAATTTTTAGGTTTATGTTAAAATTGTTACTGATTCTTTGTACTTATATTTTTACCTTGAAATCCTTCAAAATCTATCTATTTAATGAAATCTTTTAAAATCAACTAGTTATTGAGAACATCTAAATTTCAAAACTACCTATTAAAATCTATGTTGAGGACACCTAAATTTATAAATATTTTTAAAAATCTAGATTGAGGACACCTATATTTTAATGAATTATATTTAAATCTGAATTGAACATACTTCAATTTATATGGAGTTTTAAAATCTATCAAACTCTAGATTAAGCACACTCCCTTAAACTTTAAATTGGACAATTTTCTGTATAGAAACATTTTGTCGGGCTAAATTCTCAGCGATCTGTGCAAGTGACTGGAGGTTACATTTAACAATGGTGTCCACGAAAACGCTTGTTTCTTCTGTACTGTTACCTTGAGTTATATCAACAAGGTAGGATTCCACGACAATTGTCTCGTCGCCTCCATCCGCTGCTGGGTGTAGGGTTGTAACAGATCGATAGTTAGCCAGGCGGTGGTCGCCACCAACGACGCTGAAGCTGATAACATGGTGGTCGTCATTGAGGATCTCAAGGCGCTCGGTGCTGTTCATGGCGGGGAGACCGGATATGACGTGAATCTCCCGGATAGTGCCTACGTCACCGTTTCCGACGGACCAGTGCTGTTCATTGCAACTCTTGACAAAGTGCTTGTATGCCTGTGGTTTATCGAAGCGGCGGACGACGGACCATACGGTGTCGGCTGGGGCATTTATTTGCTGGATCACGGCGGAGCAGCACTGGTTTTGGCCCACGGCGTAAGTGTGGTAGCAAGTGACGTGGTCTGGGACTTGGGTGCTGCAAGGCAGTGGCGTTCGCCCCTGCAAGGCGGCGGTGGGAATCTGCTGGACTTGTCTGTCTTATTAGGTGAAACAATATTTTAAGTTTGTGCTTAATATACAATGAACGCCACCGTAAGGCGGCGGTGGGAATCTGCTGGACTTGTCTGTCTTATTAGGTGAAACAATATTTTAAGTATGTGCTTAATATACAATTTTGAATGGGATTGAAAGGTAATATGCAGAAGATTTTAGCTTTTTATTTTGTTTAATTCTTTTCAATTATCTAATGATAAAAAAGGAAAAAATAATGAAGATATACGTTATGGTGGAATTTTTAATTTTATTTTATGCACGATTATTAAATATTAATCGTGCATGGAAATATGTAATCCTGAGCCGACGTCATCGATTCTCTTTATTTATTAATTGCCCCTTTATTAATGTTTAAGACTCAGAGTTTTGCTGCTTGGATAGAATTTGTGGAGGGTGACAGTTGTTGGTTTCTTTTTCTTTTTCAAACTTTTCATTGAAATGTTGACACGTGCCATTCTGTTTTCAAATTCTATCATCAACTCTATTTGTATAGCATAAATCCAAGACTTAAGATTTAAATGACATAAGCGAATAAATTAACAAGGATTATGCTGGTTGTAATTAAAAATGATATATAAAGGATTACATAAAATGATGTAGATAGAAAAAATTGGATGAAAAAAATTAACAGTGTTTTAAACTGACAAATAATATAGTGATATATGGCGTTATGTAATCTATTATGTGAAATTTGAGATATCGTATATATCACCAAATAATTCGATATATAATATAAGAGCGGTGTGTGAGAATTGAGAGTTATGAAGGTTAGTAGTGTGTGACAAGAGAAACAGAGAATTGATAAGAGTGAGAGAAAGTGGTTGACAGGTGTGATAGAGAGAGATTGAAGTGGCAGACTTGCAGCAAAGTTAGTGGAGTGAGTGGTTTAGATAGTGAGGTGACGTATTGGTGTGGGGAGAGAGTGTTTTTATAACAAAATATTACACAAATTTTCATTAATTAAATAGTTCCTTTAATATTTAAATTTAACAACTTGATATTTTAGAGTAGCAATCATAGACGAATTTTTTGAGCTTTTGGCGTTCTTGTACAAAGGGAAATTCTGAATCTTCTTTAAGGTTTGTTTGATTGCAAGGAGGTAAATTAAATCATGATAGAAAACCTAAAAGTAGTTGACGTAATGAAAAAGTTCAATAATCAAAAATTATACCACATAACAAATTTATATAGAGTTTTATCTCGAAAGACAAGATCTATAGGAAGTAGTTGACGAGATGACACGATACTGCTAGACAAAATCATGGCTATGTAAAAGGAGATAATCAAAGCGAGCACAACTATGTTTGTTATAAAGACAACAATCGAGAAAGAATTGCTAGAACTTGTAAAGGATATGAACACATCAAGAGAATTTTACCCATATTGAATAATAATCCTAACTCCGTCCCTGATTTTGAGCAACAAATTTTCAACACTTACTCTAACGTAAAAATTTCATCCAACTCATGTAGGTGTGGTAGTGTGTACGAAACAATTAACATAGGACAAACCCGAACAATAATACGAAAATTAACCAATGGAAGGGGTTGATTAGAAAGAATGGTCAGAGAATTGAGTAGAACTTGGAAAGTCTTTTATTTATGTGCTCTATTTAACACTTAAGAAAGTGACCTGTTTTGATTTATGCGATTTCGATATGATTCTGATCAAATATTTTGATCATTGACTCTTTCTATTTTTGATCGATTTTTGAACATTGGGATTAAGCAAAGAAATGGTAAAAGCCCACCCTACAGTTATCACTCCCCTCCAATACATAAGCAGTAGACACGTTGTCCAAAAACTAATTGACACGTGGACCAAAAAAATTCTAGTAACGGATCGTATCTCCACTCGCTCTCTCGTCCACGAATTCTGATCGCATTTACAGATCGCATCTCCACTCGCTCTGTCGTCCACGAATTCTAATTCCACTTGCCTTTGTTTGGATTTCTTCGCCACGTGGCGCTTACCGTGAGTCCAATATATATCTGTTCAATGAACCAACTGAAAGTCTAAAATATTATCCAAAATATTTTTTCTCATCCTCCATTCTCTCTGTATCCTCGCAATTCCGAAATTTGTGATTCAAGTTTAGTGTTTCTGCTGATGGCTATGTGGAGTTAAATCATCATTTTCGAACTCTTGCTTCGTTTTTATAATATTTGGTGAGTTTTCAGGCAAGATCTTGTTGTAAAGTATTAACTGTTATTTTTATTGCGGATTTTTGTTGCTGTCGATTGAATAGCTTCTTTGTTTAGATTTTCCGAAGAAAGTTGAATCTCTGAGATTAATTTTTGTTATTATTTTTATTATTTTTAAATTTTGGTACTTTCACTAATTTTCTGATGGAAACGATCGAAGTTCTTTTGGGTATATTTACTACTCCCTCCCTGGTAAAGAAAGGTTTGTTTTCCTTTTCTGTATGTCCAAGGCCAGTTTTCTGGTTGAGAGTATAGTTAATTTGTTAGCTTTTTAATATATCCCTTGCCTTATTATTGAAAAAAGGAGCTACTCCTATTTAAGAAAAAATTATATTTTTTTAATCTCTGTAAAATTGGAAACAAGTCTATCTTTGTGGGAGTATGTTTTTCCGGGGCACTAACTATTCCTTCATCCATATGATTTTATATTTCTGGTACCTTCTATTTGATAAAATTTTATATACCTTTAATTGATCTACATTTTTGCAAAAATTGATCATTTAGCTTGTGGAAGGCAATTAAGTTTTGTTGCCTTTATATATTCTCCACTTTTAATAGTGACTTGTCATTTTTCTTGGATTTTCCGAAAGTTTGAGATTGGAGATTGTATGTATATTGATGCAGTAGAATGATGATTTTGAGGTAATACTAAAGTGTTCTTTTGTGATTGTTGTTTTGATTGATTTAGTGAAGGAAAGATTTGGATTTTAAATATAAAGAAACCAGTGTGCAGTTCGGTTACAGCGTGGGGACTAGAAGAAATGTCAGATTTATGCACTTACAAGGTGGGGGTTTATTTGATTGGCTAGAGCACGACTATGCCTTTTCTTTCTTATGTTTTGCTTCTATGTATATGTGAAAATAAAATTCTGTCCTGTTTTCATTATATTTATATTGTTTTCTTTTATTTTTTGGTAGCATGTTGTGTATGTTTGTATAAGAAAATATAATGGGAATTCACAATTAAAATATGAGTGGCGATACAGCTAATAAAAGTATTTCTCATCTATCTATATGAATTTCTAGGAAGAAAAGAGAAATTAACAGTTTCACAGAATTTGTCCTTGTTTTGTAATGCACACGTATTATTGGAGACTGTACCCTTGAGGATACGCATGTATTTCAAACCTGCATGATATACATTAAGTGCAGTGAGTTGCGGAAACTGGCTGAGAAGCAAATACAATATTCTCTCCCCTGCTTAAATTCCTCTGGTTGAGGTTTATATTTGCACTTGTACCTAATTCATGGTTGAAAGTCTTTTGCACAACTGCCTCGAGGTTTCATGAGTTCATTATTCACTGATCTGTTGTATTTTTGTAAACTTATTTTGTAAGATTTTTCTCTGCAGTTTTTACCTCTAAAAATTCTGTAACTACTTTTAACAGATTGATGGTACAGTTTGGGATGAATTTTGTCAGATTGATGACCATATAGTGCCCCAGTCAGGTGACAAACGGGTCAATAGAAATTCCTTTCACGGTGATGTTTTTAAGAAACCTCGCTGTGAAGTAACTTGTATTTCAGGTGATTTTATAGATGAATACAATTATAGATACGTTGATGATGAAAGAGATGGAGGAGAATATAATAGAAGGAGCTCAACGTTGGAAAAATACTCATCATCCCACAAACAAAATAGTTTGTTTCCTACTTCATCTGATAGCGACTCAATATCTGATAATGCCAAAACATCAGGTCATGACATCAAAAACAATCATACAGACTCCACTGGTAGTGAGTTTTGTGCAAATGATCCAACTCATGATGAGAAGGGTTCTGCAGATCATAGCCACTCTTACAGTTATCCACTTGGGGACACACCCCAAATAGACAATGATCTCAACTTCTTTGATAATTTTGAGGATGTTGACTGGTTGTTCAGGTAATTGCCTGCCTTCTCCTTTTGAGGTTAGGAACTTATAATTTTCACTGCATCATTTATTAACTTATCTTTGGATCCCGTATTCCAGAAGTTGTGATTCAACGTATGGACTTGGGACCATCAGAGAAGATGAATTTGGTTGGTTTTCATCACCCAATGCTCTAGGAGAATCAAGGGATGTGCCAAAGTCAGAATTGAAGCTTTCATATCCTGAATCAAATGCAATGGAGAATATTTCAGAAAACCATGACCTATCAAAGTTGATTGTGACCTGTGCTATTAATGATGATTCAGCCTTGGCAACATCCCCCGTTGGGTCCAAAAAGAGTTCCTGGCCCCTAGGTAGGGATGAATTTGCTTCTCATCTGTCTATCGTGAATGGACCCTCTAGCTCAGACCGCAAAGATGAGTTTACACCTAGAGATCAGGTCAGTGTGCTTCATTGTGATTGGAATCAGAGTTTCTTCTCTTTTCTATTGGTACTTGTGAAATTTTGGAAGCAAAATTCACCACTGGGTATTATGTTTTTCGCGGGGACTTAGATTCGGTGGTAAAGTTTAGGCCAAGATGTAATTAAAGAATCACTCTAATGGTGGCAGCAATGTAATGGCATTTTAAATATCGATGTATCTTGAGATGGAATTATTCCTGCCAATTACGTGTGCTTACTTTTAATCCTCATAATGTAACAGTTATTTATTGAAGTTTTATTAATTTTGGGGTGAAATTACAATCTGTTGATGCTGTCTCATTGAAAGATGATGTTTACTATAGTTGAATGATTTTCGAACTGTTTAGATATGTAACAATTTCAATGCAAAATACCTGGCAGATCGATGAGTGCAAAATGCTGTCAAAGCACCAGAACCTGTCTGAGAGAAAAAGAGCAGAACAATACTTGGGAAATGGTAGTTCTTTCAGTTATATCAGTAACCTGCCAAGCGAAGTCATTCAATCTCCTGACAGGGACACATCTCATCAAGCTTTCCCATATGTGAACGTACAATATCAACAGCAAGCTATGGGTCAAGATTCTTATCACGCTACATGTGATTCTGTATCACTAGAAAAGCAAGTCCACCATTCTGGAGATAAACAGGATGATCACTGTGATGTCGAAGGAATCAAGATAGTAACTCCAGCAGAATTATGTTCCTCAGATGTACAAGAAAGCCTGTCAATGAGTTCGGATTTGGATGATATTTCACCGGAAGCAGTTAGTTTTCTCCAGCTTCAGCATGTCACAGAACAGGTAATGTCCTCTCTAGATTTTGAAATATGTAAGCTTTAATTTGTGGTGCATTATGAATGTTTCTAATGGCAACTCTTTGAGCATTAATTTATCTATTAATTTATACTGCCCGGTTTCTTATCATACGTGAGAAAAACGTTTAGAACTATGTGCAGGTAACATCGTAATGGATTGTAGTAAGGTTTAAATCCAGTAATTTCTGTGTCTGAGTATTATTTATTGACCAAAAGTTTTTAGTTTTAAAAAAGTTAACAGTATATACAGTTGCATCTCAGAAAATTTTTAGTTTTTTAGTTAGATGCAATTTTCCAGGCAATAGGAGTACAGAATTATTATATGTAACCATTTAATGCTAATGTCCTAGAGACCGAAGATTGCATTAAACTTCAATTCTCCATGATTCTGTAGGGTTTGGAATTCTGTCAAAATCAACATGAGTGAAAAGATAAATGGAATAAGATAGTTTTAGACTACTTACCTAGATAAGATAATCAACCTCACTAAATTATATAACACGTTGATAACAATAATTAAATGATGTAGATGTAACCTCATCTTACGGCTTATAGTTTCCATGTTAATAGGCATTGTTACCTGTATGTATGTTTTTTCTTAGATATAATCCATTCTGCACATGTATGATCAAAATTTTATTCGTGATGAAACAATATCAGAATTTTACTCTATCATCTTAGTGTTCATGGTATCTAAGCAGGCAAAGGTCCTGAGTTAAAGTACTGCCATCCATATAATGAAATTGTCGACGGTTGAGGCTTTGATGGGAAAATAATAAACCCCACCTACACGGTAGGAGATGTGTGAAGAAAATATTTAATGATATACATGTGGCATTATTGCTTTTAGACCAAGTGGTAAAACTTATCTCGAATATTTAGTAATTAACTTCGTGTTGTCCTCCCTGATCACTCTCATCTGTGGGTAACAGAGCTTTTCGAGGGGGTCCAATGATTCATAATTTCATTCTAAGGCCCTCTTCCAAAGCGGTGAAACAGAGAAAGGGGACAGCGTGATAAATTTTCCGTTGGACCACCCAAACGCAAGGTTTTGGTAAAGATGCTCATTTGGTATAGGCACGTACATACATATAGGCCTGAGGCGGGGAATAAGCTTGTACGCGCGCGGCCTATTACGGTAACAAGTACTAGAGTTACATCTTTTTATTTCCATTCTAAAGTTCTTAGGTGCTTCCATGCCTCATATATGCCAACTGCCTATCATTTGTTTAGTGCTTATCTCTTCATACATATTCAGCAGCTTTGTCACTTACTGCGGGTAACATTTTTTGTTTAGTTGAACTTAAAGACGAAGCTATGCATAAGAGACGGTTTATGTCGTTTAGCACTCCTTGCTGAACAGAGACCGCGACTTGAAAACCTGAACAACAGCTCCGGAAATCAAAGAGATGCCAGTGAAACATTTATGGCTGAATGCGCAAAAAAGTACGTCACCACATATTTACACATCCTAAATAATATTCAAGCATTCTGCATAACCTAAATGTAATAATGAATTTGTTTTGCTGAAACTGATGCCAAAGGCTTATGCATTTTTCCCCCTTGTGTTTAGAGTTCTTTGATGATTCTTATACCAGTGGTGTTTATTTATAGGTGCACTGGTGTTATGAACATGGAAGTAGATCGCTCAATAGCACACTTACTATTTACGTGCCCATGATTCACTCAGTTCAGAAACTGCTGTTGATACAGAGAATCAAGTCTTACCATTCTCGAAGAAGTACAGAAGAGAGTTTCTATTAAGCAAAGTTAAGTTATCGGTACGATCATTGTATATTATGCATGGGCGCGTATAGAAATGCAGAAAGCGACCTCAAATATAGATGCTGATTTTTTATTTATTTTTTGTTATTTCTGTTGTAGTACACCCGACTTTCTTGTTTTCAAGATATTGTATATGGTGTGTGTATATATGTATAGGTTCCTTGATATGCTTTCACACGTTTCATATTTGAGTGAGTTTTACTTTTTCTCTTGAATGCAAGTTGCCGACTGATATTATTTTTTTGGAAACTCTTGTAGACTTTTCTATTTGTACACTGATTTTTTTACACTCTAATTGACACTTATATAGTTGTCAAAGTGTCAATTGGATGAAAAAACTATTCGAAATTTAAACTGTCTAATTGGATAATATCACGTGGCAAAATGTAAATCAAAATGTACATATATCATAGTTCAACTCTTATTTCATGTGTCTGTGTTCTTGGCTACTTACAAACTTCATGAGAACAAGAAAGTAAATGATTAATTTCAATTTTGGTCACTGAACTTTCATAAAAAATGTTAAATTGACGCATCTAATTTCAATTTGTCTCAATCAAGTAACTTATGTCAATTTAGGTTTAAAATTTAAACGTGGACTGATTAACATGTCATCATAACACCTTGTCACTAATTAACTTTCTTCAATAAATTCGATTTTTAAGGTTTTCCAAAAGTCACTTTAAACCCACCAACCCCGCCTCAAATCAGTCCAAATACTAAGTACTAAAACGTGATCGATTATCAAACATAGCATAATTTAATTAGTAGAGAAGTATATTTATAAAACTAGATGTGATGTGCTTAGACTCTCGAGTTACATCTATTAATAGTTAAGTCCAAGTTCGAGCATACCTTAAATTTCTTGTGGTGTTAGATCTTCCTTCATCCGTGTACTGTTGAACTCGGAACAATAAATGCAATAATATTCATCCTATCAAACGTTATCATACAATGAATTTCTTTATTTCAAAACATTCATTCTTTTTCCCCATTTGTTCAACCCCGCAAATCGTTTAGAAGTTGGAGTACAAAATGTTAAAACAAAATCTAGATCATAATCGTCATTCCATGTGCTAATCTTGAGAACAAGACATTGTAAAAAACTTTATAGACGATGATTCAGACCGAACACAATGGAAATATACACTTACTGTTATGAATATATAATGTAGCAATGGAGAACATAAAATGAAGAGGACGATGATAACAAAATTCGACAAAGGCTTAAATATGAAGAATATATTATTGTCCTCAAACGATAATTACCTCCTTCCGATTGCTTTTAAGGATTGAAAATGACAAATAGTTTGTAGGATTGATCAAGCCTAAAGAAGAGCACCAAAAGCAAAAAGATGATCTTCAAAGTGATCTTGTGAAAAATAAAGCTTGAAATATGTATAATTTCTTCAAAGGTTTTGGGAGAATAATGGAATGAATTTTCATGTGTTTAGGTATGAAAACCATCAAGTATTTATAGATTTCCAATCATCCCATAAGAAGTGGTTTCAACTCAAAGTAAAGAGGTGTAATGTTTCATTAACAAAACCACCAGAAAATTCGAAAAAACCTGCCAACGGTCAAATTTTTATAACTATATGACCGCATAGGCTATAATTATGCGGTCGCATAGTTATAGCTTTGGCTGCCTTTTGGTTCCCTGAAAATCCAAACGCGACCGCAAGCCTCAAATGCTAATGCAATCGCATAGGCCATTTTTATGGCTTGATTTTCCACTTCATCCACTCAAATCTCAATTCATCCTCCCTGGTTTTGAATAGGGACAAAGCTATTAAGGGTCCAGTGCGGCATATGGCCTTTCAATTCTCGGTGCCCACAAACTAGAAGGCAAAAACTGATGGAATTGAATAAATCATCAACATTGAAGAATCTCTAAGGTCTGATGCTAAGATTTATTTACTTCATTACCACTATTTCTAATGAATTTACCTCCACTACACACGTGCGAGCGCAGGTATGCACTGTACATGCACTGCCTCTTTCTTTCTCGCACACTCCATTTGGATATACTCGTAAGATACATACATATATAATATAAGAGTGGTGTGTGAGAATTGAGAGTTATGAAAGTTAGTGGTGTGTGACAAGAGAAACAGAGAATTGATAAGAGTGAGACAAAACGGTTGAGAGGTGTGATAGAGAGAGATTGAAGTGGCAGACTTGTAGCAAAGTTAGTGGAGTGGGTGTTTTTTTTTTTTTTTTTTTATGCCCCCAGGGCATATCTCTTAGTAGCAAAAGGGAGGGTGGATAGGACTCAGCGCGGCAGTGTGCAGAGTTCGATTCCCCGCAAGGTGGAATTGACTTTGTTGCAAGCGAGAGTTACCATATGGGTTAACAGCCTTGGCCTATCTATGTGCTCTCCACCCTGGCTCCTGGGAGGCACATCCTGCGATTTACCTCCTCCACGACGACCCAGGGCAGGGTCGGTGGGGGCCCTTAAGGTTGGGGTTCAACCTTTTTAGTGGAGTGGGTGTTTTAGATAGTGAGGTGACGTATTGGCGTGGGGAGAGAGTGTTTTTATAACAAAGGCCCCGTTTGGTAGGGATTTTTTGCCCCAAAAAATTGATTTTTTGACCGTTATTTTACTATTCAAGCCGTAATTTTTGACTTCTTCTCTCACATGTGGACCCCACTTTTCTTCTAACGGTCAAAAAATCAATTCTCAAAATCCCTACCAAACGGGGCCAAAATATTACACAAATTTTCATTAATTAAATAGTTTCTTTAATATTTAAATTTAACAACTTGATATTTTAGATTAGCAACCATAGACAAATTTTTTGAGCTTTTGGCGTACTAGTACAAAGGGAAATTTTGAAGCTTCTTTAAGGTTTGTTTGATTGCAAGGAGGTAAATTAAATCATGATAGAAAACCTAAAAGTCGTTGACGAAATGAAAAAGCTCAATAACAAAAAATTATACCACATAACAAATTTATATAGAGTTTTATCTCCAAGAACAAGACCTATAGGAAGTAGTTAACAGGATGACACGATACTGCTAGACAAAATCGTGGCTATGTAAAAGTAGATAATCAAAGCGAGCACAGCTATATTTGTTATAAAGACGACAATTGAGAAAGAATTGCTGGAATGTGTAAAGGATATGAACACATCAAGAGAATTTTATCCACACTGAATAATAATCCTAGCTCCGCCCCTGGTTTTGAGCAACAAATTTTCAACACCTACTCCAATGTAAAAATTTCATCCAACTCATGCAGGTGTGGCAGCGTGTACGAAACAATTAACATAGGACAAACCCGAACGATAATACGAAAATTAACCAATGGAAGGGATTGATTAGAAAGAATGGTCAGAGAATTGAGCAGAACTTGGAAAATCTTTTATTTATGCGCTTTTTTTAACACTTAACAAAGTAACCTTCATGGAGACTCTGACTGAATGAAATATAGAAAAGCTTCAATTTGTGGCCTCGAACTCAGCAATTTTACGACCTTCCTTTGACAACCAAAATGACAAACACTGCTAGATCAACTCTTTGTCCCGGATTTCAATATCAGTTGCAAATTCGACTTGAAGGGCTCTTCAACATAATCGTCCAGGATTTCTTTGGCGGCATTGCCCCCATATTGGTGGAGCTGCCTTAAGTAATTTGGGCACAGCCACCACCGGAAGACACGTGCTGCAAACCTAAGACTTGTTCTCCCCACTTATCCCATATGATCCTCCAAGCTTAAGAGGATTGTTTGCATTGGCCAAGTCAGAGTAAAATGTGCATCAAAAGAATGGGTGAATCGAACTATCAACTGAGAGCAGAAGTAATTCCTACAGACAGAGACAAGAATGTGCAATTTCTTCTTATATTTAAGCTGAAATAATATTTGGGCGAATATTCACTCATGCAAGGCACATATGCTGCAGGATGAACCAGCCATCTATTGGAGCTCTCTGTTCCATAGCATCATTTAAGGACCTTTCCTTGTCGTCTCCTATTTACATACCCCTCGTATTAAAGGGGGTTTTGCAATGCCTTCATCCTGCAAATTAAACATACATTCTTAAGGAAAAGTTTTTCCACGACCACTACACTTACTGTGGCTTGTTTCTCATTCACATTTACTCGCAGACTTGGAGGGTCTTAAACTGAGAAATAGTGATAAAAAGCTAAACTGTCAAATTTCATCTTGAATAATTCGAAAATTCTGAACGATGACCAGATATAATTACTACTTAAAGTTCTTCAATTTCAGTTCCAGAATAGCACTATGATACGAAAAATGCCAATTATTAACTAATGCTTGAAAACCTGTGATGGGAAGAAGCGGAAGGAGGCAGTAGAGGATAACATGCAATGTCCACAATTCAATTATTTACGTCAATCAAATAGAGCACAATAACTACAAGATTTAACACAGTAGAGGATAACATCAGGTATTAAAAACTACCTCTTGTGCAGTCTCCTTCTCTTTTTTATACCGAGCAAGATGCTTATGATACTCTTCAAGCTCATTCTCTAATTTTTCAATAAATTGACTTGTGTGTTCAAGGGACTGCTCATACCTATATTTTTCCAGAGCCTGCAATTAATAATCAAACTTATAAAATCATATTGCGAAACTCTTGATTGTGGAATATACAGTCCAGATACATTATGACCATCAAATACCACCCAGATCTTATGTTGCTCTATGCATACCGATCTTGAGCAAATAAACAAAAAAGTAATGAAAAACAATTATACAGTTGCTCAGCTAAACTAAGATCAGATATCCTATATTTTATAACTCGAAAGTCAGGAACTCAATTTAGGCTGTTCAAGACACAGTGCCAGGACTCAAGCTGCAATGCCAAATTGACTCCTACGAGTAAACAAATTGAGTCAACATACAACTATTGAAGAAAAAGTCAATTACCTTGGCTTTTGATAGGGTATCTGGAGGTGACATAACATCTGGTCGAACATAATTTTTTCCACGATAGAATATTATGGTATTGTTTGGCTTTATGTCAATAACTATGCCTTTGCTTAATCGAGCAAGCTCCTCAGCGTACTGATGAACCTGACCAGGCTTGCAAGGTTTGCAAATAACCTTTACTGTCTCATGCTTCTTCCAATGAAGATGCATATTGAGAACAACACCTCCAAATACTCCTCGTCTCCCTACTGGAACATAATTTTTCTTTTTCTCACCTGTACGCTTTAAGTAAAACTTCTCCTCTTCAGTCAAGATCTCGGGATCATACGTTTCCTGCGGCGCTTTAGGTACCTCATATTTCCTCAGTGTCTCAATCAACCATTCTTCCTTTCTTTTTGCCTAAAAGAAAAGGTGTCATAGTAATAAAGTTAAGACACAAGCACAAATCAAAATTCAAGAACATCGTTCTATCTACTGCATTGAGCTGATGTCCTTTTTTTGTTTTCCTTCGAAGCTGCTTACAAGGTTTAGTTTCACTAACCTTTTCAAGTTTGTATCTTATTCTTACTTCTGGATTTGGAGAATTCATTTTCTTCTTCGCTTTTAATCTGAAGAACCTAAGTTCGTTTAGCTTAGCTTTCCTTGAGAGTTTATGCCGTTTCAAAGTCTTCTTTCCTTTCTTTTGAGATCCTTCTATAGCAATCTGATTTCCAATGTTAAATCTGACCACGTCTTCATCTGTCTTCAGCTCAATTGATGCATTACTCATATGTCTAGCATGTACCAGCTTCAAATTAATACTGTGTGGCTCACATACATACCATCTTTTAACAATTGAAGTGTTTGACGAAAGAGATCCATGGGTACATAGTCGAAGATATTTCTCCAACTTATAGTTCCTCAAGTTAACACATCCGTCATGGCAAATAAAACTTGCCAACAAAGTGGCTTCTGATAAACATGAAGGAGTTGAAATGCTTCTTACAAGCCAACTGTACCAAATAAAAGATTCTCTGCATAAGGACACATTACTCATCATGAAGACATTTGAAACAGAAATTTGATTGAGAACTGAGTTTGATTCCATCACACAAGCACAAGACTGAGATAAAAGTACTGACGCATGAGAGAGCTCTAATTCTAATATAAACCAAAAACGGATCATGATCTTTTCATACAATGATCATGAATTTCTTTCAGAGACAAAGCAGAAGCCAGTAAATCAAACTAAACAACACCCAAGTATAGTCATTTGGCAGGAACTGAGTTTAGAGTTGTCAGGGGTCATTCAAGAAGAATACGAGTAAGAAGATATTTCGTCATGCTTAAAAGTGACTTTTCCAGCCGTGTTTTTCAGCAACTGCAGTTAAAAATGCTGGCCTGACATGCAGCAAGACCCTGAATCAATTTTCAAAATTTTTTCTTACACGTGCATTCCAAGTCAAAAGCCAAATTCCACAATGATACGGCTAAAGCTTCAAAATACTTCACTTGCAACTTGAGAAAGAGAAAAAGAATGAAGAACACTGTGAAACATTTTTACAAACACCTAATCTACATAATAATAATGGAATGATTAAGGAAGCATAAAGGACCATGTCAAAATTCCGTTTTAAATTCAATTTATAAAATAAATACTAAACATATACATATAGCCGATGATAGAGATATATTATATTTTCCATAGAAATCTGGATATAAAAAATCAGAGAAAATGCATTTATACCTCTTGATAATTGATCTGAGATTGAACATTGTACTCAAATTACGCAAATTATATATTTTTATATTACTTCTGTTCACGTAATGCAGCGGCGCGGGAGAGGAGCGGAGCGGCGCTCGGTATCAGCCGGATCCGGGTCTGACTTGTAAATGTATACGTCGGGTTCGTTGAACCTTTCGAGTTTTCTTTAAACCGGCAGTGGATCATCCGGGTTCGACCCGTTATATGAACTGGTCTAATTCACAAAATCACAGTTTTGGACACATGAAAATGACAATTTTCTCACCAAAACCGATAATTTATTGGTAAAGTGCACCTAAAAGGCTAAAATTACTTTCGATTAATTTCCATTTCACCCTAAATTAAGATTTTAAGTAAATCGACTAAATGAAAGAGGACTTGTATAGATGCTAGTCTTGTTTTAATTAATATGTGAATGTAGCATCAAAATTAGGGACGAACAAAGATTAATTTGATCGAAACAGTAATAAATTAAACAATATGTTACATGAACATAAAGTTTGACTTAATATCACATGATATTTTATCATTAAACAGTTTAAAACACAATTAACTTTTTTTATCCAATGACTTTCCTCCACATGCAATTATATCAAGCTTTCTGTTAAAATCGTATGTCAAAGTAGCTTTATCCTAAATTAAAATGTTACACTTATGCTAACTACCTTCATTTATTGTGAGGAAATTGAACTGACCTAAATAAAATATTTCAAGTTCGATTCAGTCCTACACAATATAGAGATGAGCAATGCTACAATACTAAGGAGAAAATTTACGGAGCTTTTATAGGCTTTTCACAATGTGGTGGGCCAACATTTTTTTTGCAATTTTTTATTACATGAGGGTCCCACATGGGGCCCATTCCATTGTGAGTATCCTGTATAAAGCCTGGTAAACTGCTCTCGGCAAATCATATTTTTCATGCAATTTGAATTGTCATTTCATGTCAGTGACGGATTATCCATTCCCCACCCAAAAAAGAAATATATAATAACTATGTATTAAAAAGAAAAAGAAAAAAAAAAGGTTTTGAAAAATCTAAAGTGAAAAAATTATCTCAGAATTTTATATCTTTAGTATATAAACATAACCAAGGTTATGCCCACATAAAAAATTATATATATATATATATATATATTCATTGGATTAACTAGCAACATTTCTCCCTAAAGTTAAAAGCGAAAGTTATTTGTTTAAATTACTCATTTTGTAGATATAAAGTTCGAAGTTACCTTTTTTACTTTACAAAATTTACTATTTTACAAAATAAATCTTAATTTCTACAAAAAGTAAATTTTGATTTCCTTTATGCTCTAAACAATGAGTAATATGATTTACTACAAAGTACAAAGATACAACCAAAAAAGCCAATTCTAATCAAAAGAAAATGATCACTCTCACTGATAAATGTAGTTTTTACACTTATTCTAGGTCCTAAATGATGATATTTTGTTACTTTTTGGACGAATTAGTGCATAATTTGTTATTTATTACTTTTATTTGGAAAAGCTCAAGTTTGAACGAAGAATCAAAAGAAAAAAAATGAAAATGGCTAAAATGAAGCTAATTCAAAGTTAGTAGACCAAAGTGCAAATACTCAAAAGTTGTATTGGATCTCACAATGAAAATTGGAGAGTGCTAGAGGTCAATTAGAAGAGGAAATAGGTCAAATGAATGAAAAATAGTCAATGTATTATCACACATCAATTTTCAGCCGAAAAAATTATGCTTCAGATTTTTAGTTTCATATTGAGATCCAATTTGGGCATAGTCAACGTTTGAATTGAAAAAATGATATTTCTAAAAGAATTGTAACCTTCCGATTTAGCTTTCCAACTTACTTCGAATTATGTCAATCGGATATTGGGAGAAACTTATGATAAAAATACTGCAGGAAAGGTGCGTTCCTCAACCAAAAAAAGGGGTGCTAGGCACACGCCCTAGATATGTCTAGGAGCGCGTCTCAGTACAAAATGGGGAAAAAATCCTTTTTTTCTTATTTTTGTTTTGATAACAATTCAATACAATCTTTTTGGCATCCTTCAAATATCAAAATTCGATCAGAAGGTGAACAACCTCCCAAGACCTAAAACCCTACATATTTAATCTATTTTAGAGTCGAAGAACGAGTCCAATAATTAATTCAAAGGTGGATTATTGCAAGATTGTTTATTCCCTTTTCAAGATTTGGATGTTTCTCCACTTTCTTGTATAATTGTTCGTTACGGGTAATATTATTTCCTTCTTTCTTATATAATTAAATCAATAGGATGTTAGGTTAGATTTCTTCATTGTATTAGATGATCGATGAACCCTTTTGTGCATTTATTTTAATTTAAAATGATTAATTTAGTGTTTCCCGATTTTCTTGATCATTTTTGCGTTCCTATCATAATTATTTGATTGGTTGTCTATCAATTAGATAATAAGTTGTTTGTTATAGTGTATGAATACTAAAAATGAGTTAAGAACACGACAAACTAACACATATAGTTAGAATTAGGAATAATCTCTCACATAAACAATCACTTAGATAACTTAAACTAAAGACATGATTTTCATGTGAATTCTGATTAGGAATAGGATCAGATCGTGTTAATCGTAGGTTCGTGTGTCTTGAAAATGATCATTGAATAATTTAGTGTTATCGATTGTCAAAATGCATGTAAGTAACTATATTGTGAACTAAGAGTTGAAATAAATGGCGATAGGAATATTCAGGATTCCAATAAAGTATCTCACATTTGAAAACTTCACTTTTATTGCTTTCATAGATTAGAAGTAGTACGAAAACCCAAACAAATCACCTTTCTGATGTCACGCACACTCAAATTTAGTAACAACTATTGAACTAAACATTAGACTTATTCATGACGGGAACGATAAACTCAAAACTCACTATTTCTATTTACTTGTAGAACAATTCCGTACACTTATAGGTTTCAACGTAACACTCACCATACAAGTTTTTCACATCAATCGAAATTTTAGAGCACGATATAGTTGTACTCTTACAACCCAACCTCATTTCAAAATGACATTCAGGTTTTTATCAAAATGGGGAACATTTAGAAACTCCTATCGATCATCGTCTAAAACTTGACACTTCAGAGTTGACTTTTCCCTTTCAAGCCGAGAGCCCCAAGAGACTCAAAGTAAATATTAACATAGCCAACTTAGCGATTCTTGCATTTTTAGCCTTGTTTGGTTAATTTATAAATAACAATAATTGTCAAACTTTATTTTCACACATTTTATTGGATCTACAAATATTATCCATTTCATCAACACTCATTTTCTATCTATTTATAAATTCTCCCCAAATTGAGGCTTTTCTACAAGTTTGTATCTGATACATAGACACCATCATTGAGTGTACCAGCAAAGCATAACAGGTCAAAGAATTAACCACATTGATAACCCTGTTCAACTGTTGCATTGGCGAATATTTCAATAGTCTCGACCATGGAGTAGCCCATTCGATAATTGGGGTATAATGGGTTGAAGAAGTCAACCCATGTTTTCCTTTCTACCCAACCTACAAGTAGTTGGGTGTTGAGTCGAATGAGAATGGTACCACTACATCAGAGCAACACCGGCTTTGAATCAGGGCTGCCTCTCCAAGCTCGACCGATGAAAATGCCTAGGATTGCTGCCATTGCCCATCAATTGTGGATGAGCTCTGCTCCATTTAAAAAAAATTATAAATTATCTATAATTTATTCAATTTCATTTTCAATCACAAATTCTAGTAGACACATAAATACGATCTGCGTATATACTCATTTCTATCTATTTATAAATTAAATTGCAATTTTAATTTAAACACTCTCAAGCATGCTGGCAACCTTAATCTCTAACTTGAAAGAATAATAAACAGAACAGGATTAGAAACATGCAAAACAAACACACTGATTTAAATTGGTTCGCACTCTAAAAAAATTAAATTTTAATTTACTTCATACTCTAAAAAATGAGTAATATGAGTTAGCACAAAGATCCGACTTAAAAAGCCAATTCCAATTGTAAGAAAATGATCTTTGTCACCATGCAATTTCTTTACACATCAATCAAAACTTTAGAGTATAAACCTCATTCTAAATGATATTTAAGTTGTACTCTCGAAGCCAAACCTCATTTCTAAGTGATATTTGTTTTGTTCCAAAAAGAGGACATTTGTATGCTGCTAACGATCATCGTCTAAAACTCCACGCTTTCGAGGAGATTTTTCCCTTTCAAGCCAAAAGCTCCAAGGGGTTTTTCACCTGTCATTCCTCAAAGTAAATACTAACATAGCCAACTTAGCAATTCTTGCATGTTTTGCCCCCATTTGGTTAATTTATAAATGATTATAAATTATTAAACTTTATTTCAATCACACATTTCAATAGATCCACAAATACTATTCTCTTTATTTAACACTTATTTCTATCTATTTATAAATTCTCCCCAAACGGAGGTTTTTTGCAAGTTTATATCCGATACATAAACACTATCGCTGAGTGTACCTGAAAAGCATAATGGGTCAAAGAATTTACCAAACGGGTAACCCTATTCACTTGTTGCAATTGTTGGGAATCTACTTATCATGCGCAGCAAAAAATTAAAACGAATTTCGATTCCCACTAAGGATCTCTTTGTGTTTAGATAGAAACTGTGATAGAAATTGTACCTTCCATTGATTCTACAAACTCCTTTGTAATTCTTGCTTTGATTATGCAAACTCCTTTGCTATTCTTTCATTCCAACAATCTTGATCTGCCACCCACAACTGTCTAATTGTCCAGCCTCCAATGGTGATCCACACAGAGAACAAGATTGTAGGATTATGATTTTCTTCTTATACTAGCAAGAATAATAAAATTCTCTACAGTTTTTGAAAACCATAATCATATTTATACAAGCTCAAACGGGCTTGGTCTTACCCGGTTTAATATTTAATTAATTCATTTAATTAAATTCGGTC